AGCTCTTTAAGCCCCATCCAACTAAGCAATAATTGGACCAGGATTATGGACCAAAATAAACTGGTTTGGATGTTTTTATAAAGAAGACACGAAATGAATGATTTTGGGTTTAAGGGCACGAAATAAATGATTTTGGCTTATAACATTTAAGTAAAGGTTAGAAATATGGTCAAGGCTTAGGAAATTCACGAGACTCTTCAATTCTTCACCTTATTCGATAACCAAAGACGTGAAAGATACTCATCACTAGGTTTGGTTTTTGGGGAGACACAACTAGGTGTCTACAATGCGTCTTTGAAAAAAAGAGCTTTGGAAAGTAATGTCCACGCATCTCTGAACAAAGGATCTTTTGAAGGAATGTCCACGTGTCTCTAAACAAAAGAGCTTTAAAAAGGAATGTCCACGCGTCTCTTAATAAAAGAGCTTCGGAAGGAATGCCCACGCGTCTCTGAACAAATGAGCTTTGAAAAGGAATATCCATGCATCTCTGAACAAAAGAGCTTTGAAAAAGGATTGTTCACTCGTCTCTTAACAAAAGATCTTTGAAAAGAAACGTCCACGCGTCTCTGAACAAAAGATCTTTGAAAAGGGATTGTTCACTCGTCTCTGAACAAAAGAGCTTCGAAAGAGATGTTCACGCGTCTCTGAACAAGGAGCTTTGAAAGGGGTGTCCACGCGTCTCTGAACAAAGAGCTTTGAAAAGGAACGTCCACGCATCTCTCAACACAGGAGCTTCTAAAGATATGTTCACGTGTCTCTGAACAAAAGAACTTTGAAATAAATGTCCACACGTCTCTGAACAAAAAAGCTTTGAAAAGAAATGTCCACGTGTCTCTGAACAAAAGATCTTTGAATAAAATGTCCACCCGTCTCTGAACATAAGAGCTTTTGGAAAAATAAGTGATGAGGGTGTCCGATCGGCTGCGAACAGAAGCTTCGATGAATTGGTGACGAATGGTGAGAGTGTTCGATTGGCTGCGAAAAGAAGCTTCGATGAATTGTTCTAATAAATGGTGAGATTGCTTGATTTACTACGAATAGAAGCTTCGATTAGTAGGTGTATCCTGTAAAATCAAATGTTATTACGATGATGATTTTTATATTAATCGTATGTTGCTTGATTATTCATGATTTATTGTTACTGCTTGATCACGCCCCTTTTTGCATGTTTAAAGGGAATTTGTACTTGAAATCACGCGTAATAAGATTATTAATAATTTGATTTAGGTTAATATGAGTTTAATTCAAGTGATTACCAATATAATATTAGATTTGACTATGCATTAATAATCAACCAACGTAGATTAAACAGGTTTAGGATTAACTTGATGTATATATGTTGATTGAAAAGGGCGCATGAATATCAAAAGAATCAAGTAGAGGCCTATTTAGGCCGGGTTTGGCTACTCTAAGGTCAAATTCGTAGCATCATCCCCGAACATCCAGCTATGGTTTCGGACCACTGTGGGGTTAGCAATCACTATGATCATGAATTGGGTGTAACCTTCACACCCATGATCGTTTTACAAGTTCCTAAAACTTGTTGGCGACTTTTTTTCTCTAGCTTATTTTCCTTGGAATGCCTCCATGCCTAAAAGCATGAACCACAGTAGGGCTTAAGTGATGAGTTTGAAAAATTCTCTACAGTTTTTCGCGACTCAACTGGGAAGGATTTCTAGATTGATTCCTAAATTTATTTTAGCAATTGATTTAGAATGAGTGGATGACACTTAAAATATTCTAGATATTCATGTGCATAATTTTGGTTAACATTGTGGCATAAGCATAAAACGGTTTGCAGTGAAAAGACCATCCGTAATGCATCAAAAATATAGGACATACACGTAGGAAAGGCCGAAAATATTCTTTACAACAAAAATCGAAAAGACACTACGAAAAATTGGAAAAAACATCGAAAACTGAAACTGTCGTAGAGCGTCAGAACTATCGCAGGACGTTAGAAACCAATGCCAGATGATAGCCTAATCGCGTCGTTATAGAGATATCATTGGACGATGGTTCCTGCCGCCCTGCGATACGATCTGGTGTTTCTGCGCCAGAATTAAGTCTTCATGTTTTGCTTGAATTCTAGTACAATCTCAACAATTTTACTTCCTGATTAAGTTTTTTCGACTGTTCAGAACCCATATGTGTTTTACATATGGTTTTAGCCCTTCGAAATTCACGCTCCGTGCAATAATGGGTGCATCCAAGTTAGTTGAATTCACCAAACCATGGAGTTGAGTTTAACTCACAGGGGGTCTCGTCCATCGTGCCAACCTTGATAAGGTAAGGCTTCTGCGCGATGCATCTGGACTCTTAACCATGGACCCTCTTGGACACAATAATCCTTGACCTTAGAGAACTAGAGCCATGGTTAGGTGGCAAACTCATTGCATCATGTTGTGACTACTAGACTACTTGTGCATATCTTGCTTGTGCATCCTTTTTTTGTGATTAAACTAACCCTTCATGTTGACTTGTTTCTTGTAAATATGTCTAAACATACTAACCAAGGACTAAAAGGACTTTGCTAATTAAATTGGTTAATTAATATGAACCCATAAAGTCTAAATATTCTCAACTTAGCAAACTATAGGCTTAAACCTTCGAAAGAATCACTAAAAAACAAATTGAGGTGACGTTCCAACTTTAGCGCATCACTTTGATCTGTACCACAGGACGTTTGCGTCCAGTGCGCCGCATTGACGCCAATGCCCCGCGGTAGTCCCGTTGCTACGCTATGGTTCGGCTGCTTCTTTCCAAGTCTTCGCGTCGAGTTCCACTATCACGATTAACTAGTTTAACGTATATACACAGTCTCTACCCGGTCTTGTTTGAGTCCAACCACATGTCTAGTCCCATGGTCATCACACGAGTCTTGAACATATCACTTTCACTCACGAGTCTTTGCACATACTTTGTACATGTCCTTTTTCACCATGACTATGCTTAGAGTCTTGCATGCATTGTTTTTTCTATCATTTTTAGGGGGGTAAGTCGGATATTATCCTCCCAACATAGACTATATTGTTTGAAAAATTGTCTCCCTTACTTGATCCCCATACTTGATTCCCATAAAATAGACACCCATTTTTTGCTTTTCAACCCAATAAAAGTACAAGTCAATTAGAGTCAAGTCATTAAAAGAGTTGATGGTTTAATTTTTACAGCGTTTGGTCGAGGAACGAAGGGCGCTTAATTCGAGATAACATTTTCTTACAAGTACTCCCTTTCCAGATCCCAGTTCGAACAGTTCGAAGATGGAAGAAACCAATGGCAGTAGTTGAACAAGAAGACGTTGACAAACTCCAACAGACCGTGGATTATCTTGTTGAAATGATCAAAGGACTTAGACTCGAATAGAGAAGGCTAAGGACCCTAATAAGCATGTACCACCTGAGACAATCAAGCGCATTGAAGACAGCTTAATTCAAATCTCTAATGACTATAAGTACCTTAGGATAAGCTCCGCCAATGACATCCCTAAGTTCAAAGCTACTAACAATCCTTACTTTCATTTGAAGGCTTTCGAGACAATCATGGAGATCAAGGGGATTGATAAAAAGGTCTTCCCCTTGCTTTTCTCTCTCTCCTTGGAACTAGTATGCCAATAATGGTTCTTCTCTATAGGTGCTGAGAAAATTGCTACTTGGGATACTATTACACATGTATTCATTGATAGATACAAATGTAATATTCAAGTAGAAACTGATTGTAGAGAACATAAAATTCTTAAGCAAAAAGAAAATGAAAGCTTCACTGCATTTTACAATAGGTGGAAGGAAATTTCTGCAAAAATGATTGAAGTACCAAGTGAAAAAGAGTTTGTAAGAATGTTCATTAGAGATCTTCAAGAAAAGTTTCAAAAGCATTTGAAATATCAAACTTTTAACACCTTCAAGGCCGTCTAAAACATAGGCATCGATATTGAAGACAACCTTATAAAATCAAAAGCTACTAACAATAGTAACAACAGTGGCTGGAAAGGAAAGAAGAACGACCATTCTTTTACTTCTAAAAACACCCACCCTAGTAACAATGTTAGCACGTACAATCTTAATGATGTCCTAGCCATGGATAATCAAGGGCTAAGAAGGCAACTAAGAAAATATTTCACCCCTACTGGGACTCATCATTCCCATTAAACCTATTCAAGATCCCGCACTTGAAAGAAGGTCACCTAACTGGGATCCTAATGCCCACTGCAAGTATCATAAAGGTAAGGGCCACACCACCGAGAGTTGTTGGAAGCTATCCAATATTTGATCGATAACAACAAGCTTCATGTGCCTCCTGCTAGTAAAAAGCCAAGCATCAACACTTCTCCACTTTCTGATACATTGGCCATTTATGAGGATCAAACTCCTTTTGATCCATCAATCCTCATTAAACCTATCGAAGAACCTTCCATGGAAGAGGTTGTTGCCATTGAAGAAGAAGAGGAGGTCTTCTTCGACGCCAGGACCGATTTCCAAGATGAGGTTACCGATGAAGACATTGCTAGCCCCTATAAAAAAGCTACTAAGGATGCTCCGTCTTCATAATTCTCTTTGTATGGTCCATTTTGAAGTTCAAGGCCTCCTTGAACGAATAGAGAGTGTTGACCGCCATGCTGTTCAAAGAAAGTGTGACCATTCTTCTCATAAACTATATACCGTTGGAAGAAAACCATTTATTTTCAACGTTCACAAGTAGAAAAACACAAATGCGCACTGGTTAAAAATCCCCCATTCGCACTGGTTTTGAACCGGTCTAGAATTGAGGGATGCCAAAAATGTAAACATTCGCACCGTTTTTGAACCGGTGGGAATACTTGTTATTGGCACCGGTTAACCGGTGCTAATGATAGGTACCCACTTTTAAAAGAAAATATAATTCATTACTTTTGGCACCGGTTAACTGGTGCCAAAAATGCGCAAAAGAATAAAAAAACTAATTATTTTTTTTTGCTTTTTTCATCTGAATTTATCACCAGAATGTTATAGATATACATAATATACTTGAAACTAATAATTTTCATCCATCAATAACCTGTAATTTTACACTTAAAAAAAACAAAAAACAATATATAACAGTAGCCTAGTAGCATCACAGTAGCTAAACAGCAGCAGTACCGAAGCAACAACACTTAAGAGAATCCAATGTCCATATTAGGGAATAGAGCTACCTGAATGCAGCCTGAATTTTGTTATTTCATGCACCAATTTGATTATAGATCCATATGTAACCTGTTAAATTTTACAAAAAAAAAATCCCACATTACTAACCAATCTTTTCATATTAATAAATAAATCAACAACAAAAATAACATAAACCCAAATCAAAAGAATAAACCCAAATCATGAAATAAAAACAATTATCAAATAAAAATCGCAGATGAAAACATTATATAAGGTCTACAACAACACAAACAAACAGCAAAATATCCTCTCAATACACACACTCAAAACATATTAAGAAGTCATTGACAAGCATTAAGAGAACCCCTTTTTCTACACTTAGTCAATATTCCATGGCTAGGCGTAATCAATTATTCAAGAGCAGTCGTGAAAGCCATATTAACTTGCATTCTGGCATTAACAACTAGCAGAAAGCCAAAAAGATAGCATAGGACCGCATATGGCCATGCATACATTCAACACACATACATTTTAATGCAAATGTTAACGACAAATAAGGTATAGTCCTTGGATAAATTAGTCAGACAAGGGATTAGTATATATACAGAAAGCACAACTTCTTTAGCCTACCCAAAGACTCCGGAATGGTGGAATTGGACCGCTGAAATTGTTCAAATAGAGATCCAAACTGATAAAATTTGTCAGATTGCCCAGCTCACTAGGTATTGGCCCCTTGATATTGTTACTGTACAGTTCCTTGAGAATAAAAACATACTCCAATAAGTCCATATAATTTCATAACCGAAAAAAGCAAAGGATCAAGTACATGATAAAAGTTACATTCCAATGAACTAGAAAACAATTAAATTTGTGCTTGATCCATATTATAAGCTTAAAAGAAATAATTATTTGGTTGATTTCCCATCAAACCAGGTTCAAGGATGACTCAATGTATGCAACTATATCCTTGAAAATGAGAGAGAGAGAGAGAGAGAAAGGGAGATACATAGTACAAACAACCAGCTATTAGTTTATCACTCCTCCAATGAAACTAGTGCATAAAACATTTTTTATTTATGGCAGTAAAATACAGAAGCAGCACAGACCTTCATTTCGTTTTCAACAATTATGTAAGTTTCAGAGGTTGAGAACGACTCAATAGAGATAACACCATTAACATCAATCTTGTCAATGGCTTTAGCAAGAATACTCCCAAACAAAGTCATCATTTCCAAATGATATTAAAGCCATAGTTGCAGGAAACAAGTATAAATTAATATAAAAAATAGGCTTAAAGCCACACCTGCCCCCAATCTCGACAGAGCAAAAGTAGCAGCTACAGCAGAGCAAAAGTAGCAGTAGCAGGGGTGCACTGTAGGGAAGCAAGGCAACAGGTTCAAGCTTCAAGTCATTCGATAAACGCAAAAACATAACTCAGAAAATCAATCCAAAACCCAATTTTAATTCCCGATCTGTACTTGTCAAGAAACTCAACAATTATGGTACAATAAGGCAATATAAGAAGACAAACTGGAAACAAAATATATTGAAATAATCCACAATTATCCACTACCAAATGAGATTTAATTTGCATATTCAATCAAAAGAAACACAAAACTGAACAAAATATACCCAAAAAATATATATACCTAAAAAATCTAATTAAATGACAACCAATACAATATTCACAATACATCCACAAATCAAACTACTGAAATTCAAGATTCAAGTATCAAATACTCTGTATTCTCACAAGTTAAATACTCCGTGTACCCATAATTCAAATATTCCGTATATTAACAATTCCAAATGCTCAAATTAACAAAATTCTAGATCAATCGCAATTATTGAAACAAATTAACGAAACCCCAGATCAATCGCAATAAAACTGAGTTGTGTAATTTGATTTTAAACCCCAAAACTACTATATCAACCAATTCAATCATCATCTATGCAATTTGACAAATTTCACGTTCAATAAAATACTTCTGTTCAATTCTTCCAAATCCCCAAACTTAATAATTCAATTATTATTGAAATTATATCAAATTTGCAAAAAAAAATAACAGCAATTTCGTAAGAAAAAACGTACCAAACTAAAGACGATTAGGTTGAATACGAGAATCAAGCAAATCACTAGACTGAAATTGCTAGCTCATAATCCAATATCCACAACAGTCAAATTTCAATATCCAAATCATAAATTTTCCACAATACAACACTTTCAAGTCTTCCATAACATCAACCCTAAGCAAATTAAAATATAAGTTAAAACCTCCTTAAAAAACAACTATTTCATCCAATCAATAAACAACGGAAAAAAATAGCAAATCCAGAAATTAAACAATTAAATTGAGAGTAAAGAGAAAAAAGGATACAAGGATGAAATCGAAGAGTCTCCTGGTCAACTTTGACAAAATTAGCTCCATGGACATCCCAAATTCAACTGCATGTTGAATACGAGAATCAAATACAATAAAAAAATTAACCATAAAAAATTGAAAAATTAATTGAAATCAAAACCCTAAATAACTTGAATTTGGGAATTGAAAAACGATGGTTGTATTTGGTTCGAATTGACGCTGATTTTCAAAGGAGAAGGAGAACGAGAGCTAACAAAGAGAAGAAATGGAGAGATAAAGTGGGTTGGAGGTAAAAGGGGTGGTGGTGGGGAAGCTAAGGAGTGGCGGTGGATTGATAGAGGAGAGAAAGGAGATAGAAAGGGGGAACAAGAGGAGAGAGAAAGGAGAATGACTAAGTGAATGCGTGGTTATTAAATAGGGAAAGAATGCAAGTTTTAGAAATGTATAAACATTAAGGGGCACCGGTTAACCGATGTTCTTTGTATCAGAAGTGTAGAAAAAAAATCAAGGAGCATCGAATAACCGATGCTATTTGTATGTTGGGCCACCGGTTTCCAAGAATCGGTGCTCATTATTCGGTGCACATTTATATTTTTCTACTAGTGGTTATCAAGCCACAAGAGAAAAGGAACAAGAAGGCTTACACACCTATAGACACCACTTATGAAAGAGCCTTTGACATGCTCCATGAAAAGAGTATGGTCAAGCCTCTTAAACCAAAGCCATTTGAGTCCCTTAAGATGGTGGACAATTTCTATTGCAAATACCATCAATCTAGAGGCCACACGATTGAGAATTGTTTTCGACTCAAGGAATATGTCCAAAAGCTCATAGATAAGGGGAAACTCTTCATCTTAAGAAAAAACAACACTCCAAAAGAAGATAACACTATCCCTACCTCTAATAATACCATTGTCAATGCAATTTGGGATAGTGAAGATGAGGATGTATACCTCAAAGACATGATCGAATCATCTCTTGCTGCATTTTACCCATACAATGACATCGATGATATATGGGATGATGACCGTACTCCCCAATCACAGTACTTACTAAGTCTGGGAGAGTGCAACAACCAGTCACAACTACGCCTCTACCTGCAACTCAACAAACTTCAACATCCATCATATAAGGCAATGATATAGTCAAGCAGCTTAAGAAGACCAAAGTAGTGATGAATGTGTGGAAGCTTCTAGCCTTATCTCATGAGTATAGAGATGCAGTAATGGATGCTCTAGCAAAAGTAGGAGTAGATTCCGAAACTACTTCAGAAAGGTTGGCCAACTTGTTTACAAGTGACCTCCCTAGTCCAAATAACTTAATCACCTTCTCTAACAAAGACTTACCACTAAGAGGTGGTAAACACAACAAAGCCTTACACCTCACGGTGGTATGCAAAAGGATGAATGTGCCAATGTCACTTGTATACAATGGTTCAGCAAGCAATGTATACCAACTTCGCACTGCCAGAATGTTGGGAATAAAGGATGAAGATTTGACCCCATCAACACAAGGCATAAGGGCTTATGATAACTCTCGTCGCGAAGCCCTTGGACCCATCACCATAAATTTCACTGCAGGAGTCATTGAACATAGCACTACTTTTCAAGTAGTAGACATTAAGGCCTCTTTCAACCTATTATTGGGACGCCCTTGGCTCCATGACCTCAATGACGTTCTTTCCTCCCTCCACCAAACAAGTAAAGGCTATAGCTAGAGGAATTCCTCTTACAATCGATACCTTCCCCATGAGAATCAAAGCGGTTGACAAATCAATCATTCATGTGGAGCACGAGCACGAAATTAATGATTTTTAGGACACGAAGTGAATGATTTTGGGTTTAAGGACAAGAAATGATTGATTTTGGATTGAAACAATTAAAGTAAGGTTAGGAATATGGTCAAGGCTTAAGGAAACTTAACGTGACTTTTCAAATATTTACCGAACTCGTCAATCAAAACAAGAAAGGTACTCGTCCCTAGGTTTAGTTTTTAGGGAGACACAATTCGGTGCCTATAGAAGCCCCCACTTTGACTGGGTTTGGAGAAATGTAGGTTTCGAAAATAAAAGTCAAAGTTAGTTGAAAGGGACGGAGATTAATTCAGAAAGTTCTGCGATCCTAAATCATCCTTTTTAACGCCGATACTTGCAAAAAACATCAGTTCTACAAATAAAGGATTTATGGGGAAAGAGACACGTATCTAGGATTGCCGAGAACACGTCTCTGGGTGACATCTTGTTAACTCAATTTGACAACCTCCACATTCTCAGGATGCGCTGTCGAAGACCACTTTGCTTTGAGTCGTATTCTCGAATCAAGTGACAACCTCCTCATTCTCAAGAAGCGCTGTCGAAGACCACTTTGCTTTGAGCCGTCTTCTCGAATCAAGTGACAATCTCTTTATTCTCAAGGGGCGTTGTCAATATGAAATGTGTTCACACATCTATGAACACAAGAGCTTTTATAAGGAATGTCCACATGTCCCTAAACAAAGGAGCTATAAAAAGGATGTCCACACATCTCTGAACCAAAGAGCTTTTCGAAAGGAATGTCAATGCGTCTCTAAACATACGAGCTTTGAAAGGAATGTCCATGCGTCTCTGAACAAAAGAGCTTTGATAGAAATGTCCACATGTCTTTGAACAAAGAGCTTTGAAAGAAATGTCCACGCATCTATGAACAAGAAGCTTTGAAAGAAATGTCTACGCGTGTCTGACCAAAAGAGCATTGAAAGAAATGTCCACGCGTCTCTGAACAAAGAGCTTCAAAAGAAATGTCCACGCGTCTCTAAACAAAGGAGCTTTGAAAGGAATGTCCACGCATCTCTGAACATAAGAGCTTTGGAAGAATGTCCACTCGTCTCTGAACATAAGAGCTTTGGAAGAATGTCCACGTGTCTCTGAACAAAAAATCTTTGAACAGAAGCGTCGGTGAATCGGTGTAATGAATGGTGAGATTGCTCGATTGACTCCGAGCAGAAGCTTTGATAAATATGTACAATGAGATTGCTCGATTGACTCTGAACAGAAGCTTCAATGAATAGGTGTATGAATGGTGAGAGTGTTCGATTGGCTGCGAATAGAAGCTTCGATGAATTGGTGACAAATGGTATGAGTGTTCGATTGGCTGCAAACAGAAGCTTCGATGAATTGGTGTATCTTGTATACTAAAATATTTCCGAAGGACTTTGCTGGTGGTTTTCTTAGGGTTGACCCCAAACTTGGTGTACTTGACTCATTGTGTGACTCAATGCACTCAACTCGACTCGATGTGTTTTGAAACATCATGACTCGTGTGCAAAGTCAAGTATGTAGGATGTAGACTCAAATCGTGGTGACACGACATGACTCAATGTGCATGTCTCGTGTGTACGTTGTGTTGTGATTGTGCTCGTGCGACTCGAAAATGCAGAAGAGCAAAACTAATAAAAATTTTCCGTCATTTTTAGGGAGGGTACCGACTTCTCCCAAAAAGAAAGACGTGAAAATGAAAAGAGGTAAAGTGTTGGTTAAAATAGAAGTGCAACCTCTATTTATAAGAAAAATAGAGAGTCAAACAATTGGAAAAAGATCAAAATTTGAAAAGAAGTAAACCTGTTTTTGACGCGACGCGACAAAATTATCGCGCCACGCTGTGTGCTAACACGCCGCGCCAAGGTTGTCGCTGTGCGATGGTTCTGGTATCGTGCGCTGGTTCTAAAGGATAGAAAAGATATACAGAGTCTGATTTCTAATGGAATTGTGTTTCCAGAAGATATCCGAACGTCTTTGTATTCGAATAGAACAAGGATTATTTTACGAGAAGTTTTATTCAATCTCAAACTTCTTTGATCTTTATCTTTTAGGAAAGGATAGATTAGAACCTACTAAAGAATTCTAGAAGTTCCTAACTTGTTTAGGATTGGGAATATGTTCATATAGGGCCTAAATAAGATATTTGGACTCCATATAATCATTGGGTCGTAGCTTATTTTGTTTTAAATCGGATTTAGGCTTATAATATAGTTGGAAAGCTCTTTTAAAGCCCCATCCAACTAAGAAATAATTTAATCGATATAACGGACCAAAATAATCTGGTTTGGACGTTTTTATGGCTTAGACACGAAATGAATGTTTTTTAAGGACACGAAATGAATGATTTTGGGTTTAAAGACACGAAATGAATGATTTTGAATTAAAACACACGAAAGAATGGTTAGGAATATGGTAAAGGCATCAGGAAACTTCGCGAGACTCTTCAACTCTTAACCGAACTCTTCAATCAAAACATGAAAGGTACTCATCATTGGGTTTGGTTTTGGGGGAGACACAGTTGGGTGTCTACAGAAGCCCCCACTTTTATTGGGTTTGGAGAAACGTAAGTTTTGAAAACAAAAGCCAAAGTAAGTCGATAGGGACGCAAAATAATCCAGAATGTTCGGCGATCCTAAATCATTCTTTATAACGCCAATACTTGCAGAAAGCATTAGTTCTACAAATAAAGGAGTTAAGGGAAAGAAACGCATATTTGGGATTGCTTAGCACAATTTTTTGGGTGACATCTTGTTAACTTAATTTAATAACCTCCACATTCTCAGGGAGCACTATTGAAGAACACTTCGCTTTTGTTGTCTTCTCAAATCTGGTGACAACCTCTTGATTCTCAAGTAGCGTTGTCAATCTAAAATGTGTCCACACGTCTATGAACAACAAGAGCTTTTAAAAGGAATGTTTACTCGTCTCTAAACTAAGGAGCTTTGAAAGGGATGTCCACGCGTCTCTGAACAACAAGAGCTTTGAAAGGAATGTCCACTCGTCTGTGAACAAAGGAGCTTTTGAAGGAATGTGCACACGTCTTTGATCAAAAGAGCTTTGAAAAGGAATTTCCACACGTCTCTAAACAAAAGATCATTTAAAAATGATTGTTCACTCGTCTCTTAACAAAAGAGCATTGAAAAGGAATGTCCACGCGTCTCTGAATAAAAGAGCTTTGAAAAAGGATTGTTCACTCTCATCTCTGAACAAAAGAGCTTTGAAAGAGATGTTCACGCGTCTTTGAACAAGAGAGCTTTTAATAAAATGTCCATTAGTGTCTGAACAAAAGAGATTTGAAAAAGGATTGTATGCTCGTCTCTGAACAAAAGAGCTTCGAAAGAGATGTTCACGCGTCTCTAAACAAGAGAGATGGAAGGAAAGTTTTTAGGCTATAGCATAAGAGAGAAAGAGGGAATTATTAGGTGCAATTAGAAGAATAGGTTTAAGGCTTACAATGTGTGTGAGAGAGAGATGAGAATGTCTGTTGGTGCATTGAAACTGTGAAATCAGTCTCGCATTTATGGAGGAAATGTGAGGAGGGAGGTCTAAAACCCTAGAATTGAGGCTCCGCAGTAGAATAAAGCGTCGTGGCACGGCATACTTGCCATGGCGCGGTACGGTATAGTCTGTTGTGATACGACATTTTTTCCGTGGCACGATAGTTGTATCGTAGTGCGGCAGTAAATTTTATCAATTCTGAATGTCAAAACGCGTAAAAAGATAAAACCAGGTAAAGAGAATTGCCATGGCACGACAGAAACTGCCGTGGCGCGGCAATTGTGTTTCTGGAAAATTCTTTTAAATTCATTTTTATCTTATTTTCTTTAAAAGCACGTGATAATTGGGAGCCGTTTAAGCTATTCCAGTCTCATTTTAGGTTTAGGGTTTTGTAATATTTATTAATCGGGCTCAATTTATAAATAAATGAATTGGATTGAGATGGTTTGGGCTAAAAGGAGAAACTGAATAATGCTTGACTAAATACTTGGACTTAAATATGGACTTTTTAGCTGTCTGTGTTTGATTAAAAAGGATTTTAAGAACTCCCGAGATTAAATACTCGACCCGACCAATAATGGTGGTGAAAGATTGTTCATCATCGGGTTTGGTTATGGGGAGACATTTTTAGATGTCTACAATACCTCATGTAGGCGTCCAAGCCCAAAAGCCATTTTTCACTATGTGACAGGCCCAAAGTTCATGCTGATTTAAATTCAAATAAAGATTACCAAACCTAGAGTATCATCGTCTTCTCCAAAAGTCCAACGTCATTTCTTTTAAGCCAAATTGTGGATGTGTTAGCCCACACTATAGTCCAATTTATAACCCAAATAAAAGCTTAAGCCATGCTCCAAAATATAGTGATTACAACCCTATTTATCTAACCATAAAAATCCTATTAAATACAATTGGCCCAGTTATTGAAGCTTATCAAGTAGAGGGTGAGGCAAACTATGATGATCTAGATTATAATCCTTCTAAAGAAGACTTTGTTTTTGAGAATTTTAGTTAAGTGATTGAATTACTTTTATATGTTTTTAATAAATGCCTTAAGTAAAGTTATTCTTGTTTCAATATTTCTATGTTTTGGAATGAATAAAGTGTTTTCATGGTATATTCTTTGTAAGTTTCAAGTATGGTATGAATAAACAGGAATTATGTCTTCCAGAATGGGAAATAGGCGATCTAGTTCCAAAGTAGACAAGGTCCTTAGGAAGTTAACCAACATAGTTGAAAACATCACGCAAGTGGTGAACCAAGGAAACCTTCATTCTGACATGGAAACTTACAGTGAAACTTTCAACACAATAGCCACAGCTAAGCCACCAGTTTACTTCGAAAAGGAGGACCCAGCCAGTCTTGAAAATTGGATTAGGGAGTTTGACAAGCTGTTTGATGCCATCAATTGCCCATGTGAGTTAAAGGTGAATAATGGAGCTTACTACTTGAGGGAGCTGGGAAGCTAATTTATGGTGGACTCAAAGGAGGGATGAGTTGATGAAGAAACATAACTTTGGGTGGAGTGAGTTCAAGGAAGCCTTGAGAGAGAAGTTTTACTCAACCTATCTGAGGAAGCAAAAGTGTATGGAATTCACTAATCTCAGGATGGGAAGTATGTCTATCAATGAGTATTACAACAAATTCATTGAACTAATGAGGTTTGCACCTGAAGTTGTTCCAACTGAAACTATCAAAGCATAGAGGTTCGAGCAAGGCTTAACCTTAACCCTTCAAGGAAAGTTAGGGGGAGTAGCTTTTGAAACCTTGGATGAAGTTTATGGTTGTTGCTGGTTTTAGCAACGGATTTTTAATTCCGTCGCTGGTTTTAGCAACGAATTATTTTTATATGTCGCTGGTATTATCAACGGAAAAAAAAAATTCGTCTCAAAATTTAGCAACGGAAAAATTATTTTAAGTCTATAAGTAGATGTTATTCGGTTCGACCTCACTCAGGTCAACCCGACTCGGCTTTGCATGTAAGGCTCCTTGAATCCCCAATCTCAAGAATCGCAATAGGTAGGAATCGAACCCGTGACCTCATAGTACATAGTGAAACTCTTACCAACTATACCAAATATTATTTGTTTACTTCTATGTACATAATTGATGATAAGTGAAAGAAAAATTAGAGACGGAATTTAAAATCTGTCTCTAGTTTAGAAACGGATTTTCAAATCCGTCTCTAGTATAGAAACGGATTTCAAATCCGTCTCTAGTTTAGAGACAGATTTTAGTTTACATAATTCGTCGCTAAAGTAATATTTTACATAATTCGTTTCGAAAATAATTTAGTGACGGAATTAAAAATCCGTCGCTCATATTAGCAACGGAAAAATAAAACCCGTCTCTAATTTAGCAACGGAAAAAAAAAAATTCGTCTCTAATTTAGCAACGGAAAAAAAAAATCCGTCTCTAAATTTAGCAACGGAAAAAAATCCGTTTCTAATTTTGCAACGGAAAAAAATCCGTTTTTAATTTAGAAACAGATTTTCAATTCCGTTTCTAATTTAGAGACGGATTTTTTAATTCCGTCTTTAATTTAGAAACGGATTTTTTAATTCCGTTTCTAAATTAATTTAGAGACGGATTTTTTATTCCGTCTCTAATTTAGAAACGGATTGAATTCCGTCGCTAGAATTCTGTTTTTATATGGACATTTTTTTGTAGTGGAAATGGGGATCAAGGAAATAATGAGAAACCTAAGAGATTGTATTTTTGTAGAGGTGTGAGAAGAACCACCCTGGGAAAGATTGTGAAGGTAACCCAGGGACTTGTCGTTGTTGTCAAAAGATGGGACACCGTGAAAAAGAGTAATTCAAGAAGGAATCTAATGTCAAGGTAGGGAAAATTCAATAGAGTAAGAACCCATACAAGCCACCCCAGTCTAGTGGACCACAAGTTGGAACCAGTAGCAATGGAGGGAATGTTCCTAAGGGGCGTGTGTGTGTAATAAATCGAATGGTTATGAACGTGAAAGCTTTGAATGACTTGATATGTTCTCTATTTTGTTAGAATTTTAATTGGTTCAAGTTTTTTTGAATCCTTCTATGCGACTCTCATTAATAAAATTTGAATTATAAAAGCATTTGAATTTTCAAAATTCATGTGAAGTTTTCATAAGAAATATAATTTTTCGGATTCTGAGTGTATGTTTAAGTTTTACGGAATTTTAATTCCAAGGTGGAAAATACATATTTGTTTATGTCAAGTGGAAGTTGGAAAAAATTATTTTCATGTGCAAATCTTGAAATTGTGCGTATATATGTTATTTACATGGTTTATATGATAGAATAAACGAATTCCAAGATTATTGGTGGAATAAGAATTATTTAATGAGTGTCCTTAATATTGGAATTGGAAAATAATTTCTGTATATGGAAATAAATGGGTTTATGCGAAATATTTCTTTTATATTAATATCTTATTTTTAGAATGATGATTGTCTTTGTTGTGAATTTCAATAAGTTGTATTAGTTTATCTATTAAAGTGTGAATTTTATATAAGTTTGATATAATCTATTGATTAATTTCTTTGACTTTATATGGTATAATTAACTCTGTGATATGTGGCAAGTATTTGAATCACACGAAGTTTACATGTGGTCAATGTGGTTGAGTTTGTTATTTTGAGTTCAAAGGATTTGATGATTACTATGGGATAAATGTGGAGTTATTTTTTTTATCATAATCATGAATATTTGGAGGATTTGTGTTATCAAGTCTTTATTGATTTTTGGAATTTCATTTATGTTGAGCATTAATGTATTATTTGTGGTAATGATGACTTAAAGATTTTATATAAATGTTGGAGTAGAGGATACCTTTTTGGGAGACATGAACTGTGATATGAGATTAGCATGATTAATTTATGATCGTTTGTATCTAAAGGTGAAAAGTATCCATATTGTCAGGATGAGTATTGTGATGATTATTTAAAGCAAAATTGTTGATGGTTGAATATTTGAAGGAACTTAATACAAAAATTAGAGGATTTTGAGTCAATTGAAGTGAAAGGAAGTACAAGAAATAGTAATTGAGATAAAGGGATTTGTTTGAAATCGAAGTTTATTTTGAAGAAATAATACCTAGTGAAGGGATTTAATGAAGTTAGTCAGGGAATGATTGTTTGGGTGGTTACACAAGGGATTTTACTCTAAGGGATTGATGACAAAGTTAATTGATATAGAGAAGTTATTAATGATGTTGGAAGAATCAATGATTGCATAATGAATTGCCTTAAAGATAAGTTATGGATTATAACAACTAGATTGAGGAATTTAAAGTTACACCACAAGAAAAATAGCTTTTTACAACAGAGTAGTATTAGTTGGGAAATGTTATTTATTTGTTGTTAATAGTCTTTGCCAACGGATAATTTTCTGTTGGTCATTTGTTGGCAAAAATTCCATTGGTAAAAGTATTGCCAACAGATAATTATGGTCTGTTGGTATTATTATTTGTTACAATAGATATCCTTTGTTAGTAATTTTTGTTGGTAACGCATTTGCCAACAATTACTTAATATTGGAAGTGTTTTTACCAATATATATTGTAATGATGGTATAGGTTTTACCAATACATATAGTCTATTGGTAATAACTTTTTCCAATGTCTTTTTTAACTATTTCATTGAATTTAAGTTGTTGGTAATACTATCAAGCTAAGCTTATAATTGCTATTTTTTTCTCTATATTATAAAATTTCCCATAACTACTATCACGCACCATTATAATAAAGCAAATTTCATTCATAAATCGCGAAACTTGTTTAATTTACATAAATATATCAATCCAAAACAATGTGAGCCATAATACTCTTCATTACAAGTTAGTTTCAAAAGAGAGCTTATGGTCTGCAAAACACCTTCAACTATCTATCAAATGTACATCATATATAGCTAGGCATAAGCAAGATTCATTCCACCCAAAAAATATATATGTGCGTGGTCTTCATCACTAATCATAATCATAAAATTCCATGTCTTCATCATTTTGTGCATGATAGTCATGTTCCTCACCTCCATAGTCATTAAAATCTTCATTATCTTTCTCATTTTCATCATTGCATTCACTACCAGCATTTTCCTCTTCTTTAGCATTTTCCCCATCTTCTTCATCTTCTTCATCTTCTAGAAGAATAAGAATTTCTTCTTTTGAAATACCCTAAAAATAAAATAAATCATTTATTAAATGAATAAGATAAATCATAGAAACAATAACAAGCTAAGTAAGAAGACAACTACAATACTTTACTTTGTGTCATTATAACATTTTCTCGTAATCTGAAACTAACTAATAACTATATGAAAGGGGAGGTAAAGAAGTTGAAATTATATTAGAAAGGGTGGAATTTTAGAGAGATTATAAATTAAACGAAAATAAAAGCATAAAGACAATGGAATTAATATCTCAAAATTTATTACCTGAAGATGAAAGAATTTTGTCATCAAATTGGTCATTTTATTAAGCTTCCTCTCAATTTGAACTTTCATCTCACCTTCAATTCTCTTGGCACGCTCTTCCTCCAAAGCGCATCTTTTTGTACGAGATCGAGGAACCTTAACCCCCAAGCCAAAATTCTTAGCATAACCATTTTTATCTTCTCCCACATATTTTCTGAAAATGGCTAAGCGTTGTTCTTCATAAGCACATGGGCTAGAACTTTGAGGGAGGCGAGCCAAATCTTCTTGAATTGCTTTCTACATATTTTAAAAGACAAAAGAAAATAAAAAATAATTTATAATTTGATAGTAGCTTGCTCTAAGTTTCCATAATCAACCAAAAATAATAAAGACAAAACCATACTTTCACAGTAGCTGATGCATTATCAAGTCGAGAACCCTGTTTTGGTTCATGGGTTTCTAGCAATACGTCAAGAGGATCAGGCTCTTTTCCTTCTTTTTTCTGATACGGTAAAAAAAATGTACAATGATATAGTAAAACCACAATCCATTCATTGAAATAAAATGAAATAATAGATATTGCTAAGATACCTTTTTTTCTGCTCGTATACGTGCAAAACTCTTAGAGCTAGCATAATGACACATCATTGACTTGCTCCTATTTTCAATATTTCTTTTGCTTCTTTCCTAAATTTTATTTAAACGAGCTTGATTTCAGGATAAGCAAAAAAAAAAAAAAGTAATTGTAAATGTTATATCTTCTACTTATGCAGTACATGATTTAAGGTTTTACCTCACCTTTAGGAGATTCCCAAAATTCCACCAGATTCTTCCACATGTTTTCAGGTATATATGGTACTTGTAATTCCTTTGAGCAATTGCTTCTTCATGGGTTCTTCCATCAAAATATCTTATCTTTTAACTCACATTTTTGGAGTCTCCATGCAGCATTCATAGTCTTCATTGCCCAATCATAAGGCTCTCGTCCTATGGGAAATTCAAATGATTGCTGTACCAAAAAATACATAGTAAATATAGATATTAATAATTATTTACTAATTACCATTGCTTCCTCCCACACACAATCTTTTTTTTTTTTACTTAGCAACCTCCAATCCCAACAACCTAATGGCAGTCTTCTAGGATCTCGTGCTAGACAACCATTTAAAGAGGACAATTTCCTCCCTGTGTCACCAACAGGTTGTCCATATTCATTGACCTCAACAAACATACGATGCTTCAAAACCTTAGTTTTATTAGCACCACGACCCTTCTTATTCCTTGGTTGAGCTGCTTGAATTCTCCTCCTATTTGTGGTATTATAACCACATTGCGAGGGTATCTCATCATGATTAGTATAATCTGCTTCATATTCTTGCCTTATTGGCTCATTGAAGTTTGTTGAGATATTAGATTCTAAGTTACCAAATGTATTAAGATGTCTTGGACTATGTCCTAGTCCAAACAACAAACATATGTATAATGGTTTGTGAGAAGAAAATTTCATGACAAAGATGCTGATCATTAAAAGTAAACATTGGAAAAAATGTATATATATAACTATATAAGAAAATATATAAATATAATATCCATACCGAGATGCATGCTACTTGAAGGAACATTTTAATCTCGGCTACCATTTTGATTCGAAATATTCTCCTTTTGCTGATTATCATGATCACAACATGGTGAATTTTGGAGTTCTTTACGTTGAGCAATAAAGATACCAAAAAAAAAAAAAAAAAAAAAAAATTAACATTCAAAAACCAAGTGACTGAATAATAATCCAATACGCATGCACATTCTATTATAAATTGTTACTTACCCATGCTGTTAAGTAGCATGGACCACCTCTTGATTGCTAGTTTCTATGAAATTGTGTTATTATCATATTTTAGTATACTTTATTCAAATAGCTAAGCAAAAATCAAATGTTGTAACTCTTATTAGAGAACATTATATATTGCTGTAATATAATATATTGTGGTTCATGAATAAAATAAAAGCAATACACAATTAATTACCGGCACATGAATTTTCTATAGAAGTTCCTGCATTTGAATGCACAGTGGTCACCCCATTTGTTGAGAAAAGAGATCGTTGAGCATTTGGATGCGATACTGTGTTGGGAGTGGCAGAACTATTACCCCTTGGACTACACCTTAATAATTTACCATTTGAATTTTTTGTACTCATTTGCTGTGTAAACATAAAAACAGAGAACTTATAACTAAAATAATTAAACTCAAGAAAAGATAGTAAAATACAATAGAGTGAGAAATATACCACCAATTGATCCCGAGTTATCACATTTGTCTTCAAAGAGGCCATGGTAGTTTGTTGCATGATCACCAAGTACCCCATAAACTATGTGCAATATTATAGATATTAAGAGCTAAAATTTGTCTAATATAAAAATAAGGAAGACATACACATACACCACGCAACACAAAAAAAAAGGCTCTAAAACATGTTAGCTTAGAATTATTATATATATATATATATATATATATATATATATATATATATATATATATATATATATATATATATATATATTTGTGTGTGTGGTAAAAAAGGCTTTAAAACACATTAGATGTAATAAAAAAAATTATCATAAGTTGTTAATAATCATATAAAGTATCATCTTCTTCATCATTTTCACTACTACTATGATCCTCCTCTATTCCATCATGAACTTTATCTTGAATCAACTTGCTTAACATTTCATCAACTGTGACACTAGCAACATTTTGTCGTACTCTGTTAAATGTGTCAACATCTATCTCATTATATGAATCATGAGGTGCATTCATATGATCCACTTCAGGTATCACATCTTCCTCCATTTCATATAGATCTCTAGGTTTTGTTATGATAACAACATGCCAATTTTTTTCCTTCAACAACTCTGGGACATAGAATACTTGCATGCTTGGGATGCAAGAACAAAAGGCTCATCTGTTTTCCAAATTTTTTTCAAGTTGATTAAAGTAAATTCATCGTCTTTTTTAACCCCACTAATTGGATCTACCCAATCACAACGAAACAACAACACACTCCTTCCATGAGGATAAGTCTATTCCAAAATTTCAGTTAAGACTCCAAAGTATGCTACATTTCCAGCATTTGTGTCTGCATTAACAACCACCCCAGAATTTTGAGTTACGCATCCTTTATCAATTTTCTTCACACGCCATCGATAACCATTGCAAGTGAATTTTGTCATTGTATTCACCCACATGCTAGGAAAACAACTAAGATATTTCAGATCATCAGCTACACAAGTGTCACTAGACACATGCATTGAAACCTGAAAATTTATGAAATTAATTAAGTTAAAAAGTGACTTAACAAATAAACAAATAAATAATAATTTGGTTATGGTACCAAACTTACACTGTTAGCAAACCACTTTGAAAAATTTCTTTTATACATATCATCAATAATCTCATAGTTATTGTTGTATTGCTCACAGAGAGCCTTATAATACTCCCTAAAATACAACATATATAATCAGACGAAAGTAATTTAATATTATGAAAATAAAATACAAGTTAATAATCTAAAATTTACATACCTTGCGTAAACCTGAATTGTCTCACAGTTAGCTAAAACGTAGTTATGGGCTTGTTCAATTACATAATAACCAGGCTTGTAGTTTTTCTTTTTTGACATTGCACGACATTTTAAGGAAAAAATTGACAATCCTATATGTACGTCATTTCCATTCCCTTCATTTTCCTTTGATGGTCTATTCTCTTTTGTTTCCACATCTTGCATATATCGAGCACAAAAACCAAGACATTCTACAGCAAGGGCTCCATTTGCAATAGATGCTTCTGGACAACTTTTATTTCTCACATATGATTGTAACGTTTGCAGATACCTAGCACATACAATAAAATTCGTAATTAACATATTTTATAGATTATTAACAATTTCATATGATGAATAAGAATTGCATAAAAAAAAAACCTTTCTATAGGATACATCCAGCGTTGGAAAACTAGACCGAGAATCTTTTCTTCATATGGTAAATGTATAACTAAGTGTACCATTATATCAAAGAAAGCTGGTAAAAAGATACGCTTCATAAGGCAAAGTATAACAACAATGCGCTTCTCTAACTTCTCTAAGTCTTCTACTGTTAGAGCCGTAAAGCATAACTACTCCTTGAAAAAGTTGCAAAATTCAATCAACACGCGACTAACTTCTTTATTTTGCATTTTCCTAAGAGCCAATGGTAACAATTGTTGCATAAGTATACGATGATCATGGCTTTTCAAACCAGAAAGTTTACCATCAACAAACCTCCTTTTAATATTTGCTGCATAACCATTTGGAACTCTAACAGAAGCTAATACAGCTAACATCTCTTCCTTTTCTTTCTTACTTAGTGTAAAATTCGCAGGAGGTAGATATGTCTTCCCACTAACTTCTTTTGGGTGGAGATTCTTCCTTATGTTCAAATGTACTAAATCAAGACGTGAGAGGGTAGTATCTTTTGATTTCCTTCAATGCCAAAAATGTAACCAATGATGCTCTCTGAAACATTCTTCTCCACATGCATGACATCTAGATTATGATGGATAGGTAGATGTTCCCAGTATTCTAATCTGAAAAAAGAGTTTTTCTTCTTCCATGGGACATTTTCTACCCCCCTTTTTCGCTTGTTTTGTTTATTCAATTTTTTGGTATCAAGGTGTTTTCCAAATACCACATCGACATCTTTCATTTGCTCTAATAGTTTTTATCCTGTCCAGCATCTAGGAGGAGGTGCTAACTCTACTCTCCCATCATATGCTTTTCCATTGTAGCGCAAAGCATCAGTATCTTATAAGAAGCGCCGAAACCTTAGGTAGCATTGTTACTTGCTTCCTTTAAGATATATAGAGCATGTATCAACATTACAATAAGGACATGCACGTTTACCTTTTGTTGGCCAACCAGAGAGGTTACCATAGGCAGGGAAGTCGTCGATGGTATAAATTAAAGCTGCATGTAATGTGAATGTTTCACATCTTGAGGCATCATAAGTTTCTACACCGACCTTCCATAGTATTTCTAACTCATCAATTAGAGGTTCTAAGAACACATCAATATCATTTCCTAGACCCTTGGGGCCTGGTATAAGTAATGAAAGAATGAAATATGGTTGTTTCATACATAGCCAATGAGGTAAATTATAAGTCATCAAAACTATCGGCCATATATTATATTGGGTACTCATCATACCAAAAGGATTAAAACCATCACTACTTAAGCCAAGCCTTACATTTCGAGGATCCTTAGAAAAATCATAATGCCTCTCATCAAATTCTTTCCATGCACATGAATCAGCAGGATGCCTCATCTTGCCATTCTTTTCCCGCTTAGCATGCCAATGCATGAGATGAGATTTTTTGGATGACATAAAGAGCCTTTTCAGCCTAGGGATCTAGGGAAAGTGACGCAATACCTTTACTGGAACCTTTTTACCATTAGCCAATTCTATGATTGTTCCATCATTTGATGTTTTCCACCGCAATGCATCACAAGTTGGGCATTTATCTAATCCAATTTTACCTTTCCAGAAAAGCACACAATCATTTGGGCGTACATCAATCTTTTTATAATCCAAACCAAGCTTTTTAATGATATTTTTCATTTGTTTAAAAGAGTTTGGCAATAAAGAATCTTCAGGAAGAGCTTTTTTTAAAAAGTTTGACTAGTGCATCAAATGCTACATCTGTCACACCATATAGACATTTTATATGATACACCTCAACAATAAAAGAAAGCTTGCTAAACTCTTTACGACCATCATATAATGGTTGTCCAGCATCTTCGAGTAACTTAAAAAAGGCTTCGGCTTCAGCATTTATGCCAGATGAATTAGTTGTTGTTTCATGAAAGTCAAATGCATCTTCTACCATTTTGAAAATACCATCTTCACTTACATTATCACTAACATTGCTCAAATTACCCTCTAAGCAATCATTATCAACAATAAACCCTGATTCTCCATGAAAAACCCAAATACATTTTTGATAATCAACATCCATTCCTTTCATAATGTGTTTCATCACTATGTGTCTTTCATGATACAAACGATTTGCACAAATTCCACATGGACAAGCAATCTTGTTTTCAATTGCATTTGTTGCAAATGCATGATCTAAAAATGAAGTTAATGCCACTCTGTACTGACCATGTGCTCTGTTTAATTTTACCCAACTTTTATCAGTAAACACATCCATGTTGACAATCATACAATTTTATTAAGTTTTAAGTAATTAAACTAACTAACACATGAAGCACATAGTTTATCTAAACAAGAAAAGCTAGAATACTAAGCTTGAAAAAATAGAGGATATTTAAATATTATGACAAGTGACATAAAATTTTATATAATGTCAAGTTACAAATTTCATTTAGTTTTAAAGACATACCTTTTATTCAGGGTCAATGGTACCAAGAGTAATTTTAGTAAACTTTCAATGAATTCCAAGAGGACAATATTTTTGGAGAATGGGTTCAACACTTTTTGGTGATCAACTGTAACAGATGATAACCTGAGAATAATTCAAAAAAATGAAACCAATATAAGTTACAAGGAGGGAGAACAATTTAGTTTTATATGCAGTTTTGCATATAATTTACAACACTTTAGAAATTACAGTTAATTAGTCTCTTTACCCTCTCACATGTGGCTACATTGTTTCTTTTTTACTACTCCATCCATATTTGTAGTTGTTAAACTTTGATTGGCCCATAATTTTAGATAGTTTACTTGACTTCAATGTAATAATATGTAAGTGAAGTGGTTGAAGTATTAAAATTGTTATAAGAGATATTAGAGTTAAAAATTTGTGAGTGGAAATAGTTAGTAATAACCTTAGTTATAACTAATGTAAGTGGAAATAGATATAACATTAGTAATAACCCAAACAAAAGGTAAAGTCGTAATTAGTAAAAAAATAGTCATTATAGACAATGTAACAATTAAAGATTAAACGGAGTATTAATTATTAACTATACGTGATTATATCTATAAGATTAGGCATCTATATATCATGCTTGTCACTATTAGAATACTATAACTTAGCCTTGGAGAAAATAATAGGTTCCAATGCACTCACATATAGCACTCACTTAGTCACTTAAGATAACTATTCATATATCAACTGCTGCTTATATATTTACATGTATATCGATGCCACATTTTTTTTTAATTTAATGAAGTATTGAAGGTATGTCAATACTTGTTCGATCATTTATCCATAACTTTTTCTTTATTAATCTTTTCTTATTACATATGTTCAGATTTTTTTTTAGTAGCCACCTTTTTTCTTTCTAGCTCTTTTCATATAAGTATGTTCAAAGTTGTATAAAAAGAATATGTAAATATCAAAGTCTTTTTGATAAATAAAAAGCTAGACTATGATACATAGAAAATGAATTGGCACATAGCAAAGCTACTACATTCCTCCAACTCCCACTCATCAACACACTCCCTCACCTTCACTGTTGAGTCACGGCAAAGTGAATCCAGAGAAATAGTCAACTCCTCTCCTTATGCCCAACATTCCACACAACTTCAATGCCCCACAACTACATCCCCTTCACTTACACACAAGAATTCTAATAGACTCCTCACCAGTACGTAAGACCCCAAACAGGTCTGAACACAACACACGTCATTGCTCTACTTATGGGATTCGGTCCTACCTTTTACCGAAGCATCAAAGTGCAAGCCTCTCTTCTCACCACACAACCCCATCTCACTAGCCGCCCACCAAACACACACCTCTCATTCCCTCTCTGATAGCCATAGTCACATCACCTAAACCCCCTTGTACATCCCCTTCTTAACCCATAACCAACCACCCATATCTTAACCCCAGGTCACACAATTCAATCACACATATATACAAATAACATCAACAACCAAATTATCTATAAAATAATCAGGCAATAAAAAGCACATACAAATAATTAGCGAAATATCTAAAAGTAATTTGTCATATACAACCCAACACCCTTTCATAATGTTAATTTTTGATTTTGTTGCAAATAAGTTTTTCTATACAAAAGAAGAAATTCCAGGATACTAAACTAAATTATTATAATTTCCGAAAGAAAATGGAGAAAACATACTACTGGACTTGATTTCAGTGAATAATTAGTCTATTATATACACTTTTCTAACCCTTAAACTCTAAAATATAATACCCCAAACCATTTTTCCTTGAAAATAAACCACATATACGTCTCATAACTAATAAGAATTTCCCTACAAAAATGGATTTTCAAAATAGACAATAATTTCATATAGAGTGAATATTATTACTTAACAAAACTTACAATAGATTTATTGCTGAGAAGTAACAAATTGAAATGGGAAATTTACGGTTGTGAGCTTCGATTACAGATTGCAATTGCTGAAGGTTCAAGAAAATTTCATCAATTTCTCCGTATAAAAATGGTGGTGCTTCACATTCCTCAAAGGAGTTATTTACATGGAAGAGGTTATTTTAGAAGTAGAAGATAATTAAATTGCTTTTTTACTTTTGACAATAATATTTAATTCAAACTTTAGTACTTGCATACAGTAGCAATAGTACAAATTTTGTTTTGGTCTTATTGGAAATTTCGCTGAAGCGGGAAAAGTGAAAAAAAGAGTGGGTACCGAAAACTTAGTCCAATAGAAATAAGAGTTGGTGAAAAATTTATTGGTATTAAATTATTTAACCAACAAATAAAACTTTTTTGTTGGCATATGATTGTATGGTACAAGGAATCGTTAATTAAAACCAATAGACAATATATTTGTTGGTAATTCTAATTATTACCAACATATATATTATTTGTTGGTAAATTTCTGCGGGTAAAAGTCACTTCCCTTGTAGTGTTATGAGAAAAGATGAACGAGTTTTTAAACGTTTTAAAGGAAAAGTATTGTGTTATTTGAAATGACCAAGAGTTAATGATTACGATTTAAGGTTGTATTACTAAGATTCATGAATTTGTGGGAAAATTGTCAAATACTTTTGGAAGTTACTGATGAGTGCCATTTATGACACTCATTTGATGAGTTTTTATGTTGTTTTTACTTTCTTTTTACAGCTTTCTTTCTATATAAATGCTTGGTTTTGTTCATTTTCTCTTTAGTTTCCTTATTCTTTCTTATTTTATGCTTTTGTCCACTTTTGTGGATTTTCTAGTGATTTCTCCTTTATTTGTTCTCTTTACGTTGTTGTAGGTATTGTACGAGGTTTGGGTCATGATATTGGTGGCTTACCAAGTTGGAAGATGCCTTTGGAGCAAGCTTATAGCATTGGGAAAGCTCAAGAAGTAAGAAAATGGCATGCTCCAAGGTCTAGCTCTTGCGCTCTCAAGCCGCGCTCTCATGAGATCATGGTGTTGAACCCACCGTCAGCTCCATTTTGAATCTGCCATACTTGGTGTCTATCATGAAGATAGTGCGTACGCACACAAAGATCCATTCGCGAGCGTACGAAGCTACGAAGCATCGAAGGAACCCAAAAGAGCGCGGGTGCACAAGCCACGTGCGCACCCAGCGCAGCGAGGGTGCGCAGCTCTCGCACGGGCGCGTTTCCTTGTTTTCCGGGTTATTTTGAATTCGTATTCCTACCTCCTATAAATACCCTTTTATAACCGATTTTTGTAAGGGGGTATTTTTAGACATTATTTTCCTCGTATTTTTATCTTAGTTGAGAGTTTCTCTCTTTAGTTTTAGGGTTAGTTTAGGAGTAGATTTAGAGAGATAAAGTGAGAGATTTCAATGGCGATTTGAGAGATTCATGATGCAAGGGTGACAATTGTATTGAATATCTTCTCAATTATCAATGAACATTTCTAACTCTATCTCATCTTATTACTTTGTTTAATTTAATGTTTGTTTGATTTGATTTTGATGATTGAATCTTGATTAGTGTAGTTGTTCTTCATATTTGTTGATTCTTGATTTCATTTACTTGCTTTGTTGATTAGATGATGATTCTTGAGTAGTTGTTTTGCTAGAGTTTGGGTGAAACTTGTATGAGTGATTGTTTGTGATAAATTTGGGAATTATGTTGATTGACTATTGAGATTAAAGTGATTAATGTAAGTTTGCATGTGTGTAGTTTGATTAGGCCTTGACAACTATGCTAGATTGCATTGTGACTCCTAATGACATGACCACTTGATTTAGGATTTGCAATTTTTAATTAGTTTGGATTGTGATTCTCCTAGTTTGTTATTCATAGAGGAAACCTAGCTTAACGATTAGGAGATAGCTCTTGATTCCAATCGATAGCTTTTATCATTAGTCTTCACAACCATTGATTGATTTGTCCTTCCCAAGTTGTTGAAATTGTTATGATTACTTGCTGATCCCCATTCCTTAGTGTTTCATTTGTTTTCTTCTTTTATTTAGCAAATGATTAGTATTGGTTACTTTATTCTTCACCCTTGACTTCGATCTAGCTTAGGAGCACATTGGAAACACTTAAGCATAACCGTTCCTAGTGGTCTGACCCTTGACTTACCTTTATACTTGTATATAGGTTTGTTAAGTGATTATAAATTTTGTTTGGCTCTAGGGAGGATTAGTCACGACCTAGTTTTCCCTACGTCAGTTAGCCTAAGACAAGTTACTAA